TCATTAAATTAACACACATAATTATTGGTTATACGGTTTCTCTTTATTAACATAAATCAATACAACAATACTAATACCATGAACAACTTCAACAACTCCTCTTCCCTTCCAACTAAAACCACACCTTTATATATCTTTAATTCGTACCGGGGTTTTACTCACTCGTTGAGGGTTACTATTCCTCGCTGAGGGTTATTGTCCCTTGTGACGGGCTCTGCGGCGATGGGTCCACTATATTTTTTTTTTTATATTGTCTATTTTTATTTTTTTATGCAGTATATGATATCGAATTGTTTTCCTTTATTAGAAAAATCCAGTTAGACTTGTTCAATAGTCTTCCCAAGATTAGCAAGTGAAAGACAATCCTTACTGTAATAGTAAAAATCCAATTTCGTGAATTTCGCGGATTTCGTGAATTTCGTGAATTTCGTGCTTTTCGCGCTTTTCTTGGATTTTGTGCTTTTCGAAGCTTCCATAGAATTATAGCTTTAGTTAGGTAATTTATATTGTATAGAGTAATGATGTAAAACTATAAAAGGGATGTTCCTTAAGCCAATGAAGTTGCATGTGATGAATGATCTTATAATCAAAACCCGAAGTGCTGATAAGAGAAATCTGTAAATAACGATTGGAATTCGTGACCAAATCCTGTGACTCTGTGTAAAGAGATTCGTGACGTAATTAAGAGCTCTAATCCAACACTATTACTAAGAACCCAACTCACCCTAGTTACTCGGATCAAGTCTTTCCACGCCTCGATCGTTGCCTTACCACTACTAAGGGTTTGGTTGTATTAGTTGTGGTGTTCTGGTTAGAGAGTTTAGTTAGTTTTAGTATTGTGTTGTAGTGTGTATAGGTGTCATCCAGAACCCGAGGATTATTTCGCCTTTCACACCCTCTTTGAGGGTTTTTATCCCTCGTTGAGGGTTATTATCCCTCTTTGAGGGTTATTATCCCCGACTGTGCCACAACCTATACCAAAATAAGAAATACAATAGAATAATGATACTAACTAAAAAAACCAAAATTAAGCTTAACATTATTCCTCCCTTGGAAGGATGAGCTCCAGCGAATCGTCATCCATTCTTGATAAACATCAACCGACTTCAGGATATCTTCGGAGTATCTTCAAATTATTTCAAGGGTTTTTTTTTTTTTTTTTTTTTACCACGATCGCCTAAATTATTTTTCTTAAACAGACGTTCTACTAGATTATCAATTCTATCTTTATCAGCACTTCGGGTTTTGATTATAAGATCATTCATCACATGCAACTTCATTGGCTTAAGGAACATCCACAGTTCAACTTTAACCTTTCGATTACATATTAGCATTCTATTCACCTTAATATTCTCCACCTTATTGTTAAGAAACAATTGGCTGTTACCACTATCCTTGCATTTCACCATTATTATACTATCGTCGACTTTACCAGCATGTTGCTTTAAGCTTGGTGAATCCTTAATTCGTGCAATTTTATCCATCCAAGTGATACACATTTCTTGAAGATCATTACCATTCAGGTTATTCCCTTTATTAACCTTCGTAGTGTTATTTAATACATTACGCGTTGACATATTAACCTTTTGATTCTCACATTCGATTACATTAATCTGGGCTTTAAACGATTCGATCTTCATTTTCTATGCCATACATGCAGCTTCGAGAGTTTTATAGCATTCAGCTAATTTTCTACTTTTGATAGTTTGATAGTAGGTCCTAGGACTATGTTGTTCATGTGAATTATCTTTAGGATTTTGCAGGTGCCAATCAAAAGTTTCATGTTCACCAACAGCAAACTTTTGGCAATAACCAAGTGGCTCGCATTTATCCATTTCGACTCCAGTTCCATTCTTTTTAGCCCCTGTCATATTTCCATAACAGTTCTTAAGTTTATTGATCTCTTTAATTCGGGCTGTATCTGGTCGGTGAGTTATTGCCTTGATTTCATCTTTGGTTATGTCCATATCATTTCGGTAACAACATTCAAGATCTAACATTGCACCAGCATAACCCGTATCCGCAGGCTTTTGACAGTTAATGAATGCCTTGGGT